CAATTGGTGCTCCCTCACAAAATCCTGTGTTGGAGTCTACTCTCAAAGATTAAATCTGTGCCTATTTTGGCAGAGTTACTGATTTCTTCCATGCCGAAAGAATGTGACCCGATGTCTCCTCAATGTTATCAGGAAACACATGAAGTCATGTGCATGAGTAATGAGAGGCACAACCTGATGTCTCCTCAATGTTATCAGGAAACACATGAAGTCATGTGCATGAGTAATGAAAGGCACAACCTCAGGGATGGAGGATGGTTCAAATGTAGCAGTTTGTATGTTGCTGCTGTTGGATTCAGAATTGCTGTAATGATTTTTTCCTAAAAGAACTGAGTTTGACTTTAGTTGCCATGAAGAAAATAACTGGATAATATACCTGTTAGCTGTAGAGGTTAAGTGTGCCAATTTCTTCTGCATTAGCCAATTGACAAAGCAACCTTTACATACGAAGACTTGGCCTCCAAAGATGTGTTGCTAATGGTGGCACTGATTTTATGAATATTCTGGAAGCATACTGAGGGAAAAGATATGGGTAGAGATTAAGGAGAGAAACTGTGAAGTATATTATTCCTAAAAAACAGCCAAATGTTTTCTGCAAATCAGTTGATATTTCTTAGATATATGAAATGCCTAGAGGTAAGTGGGCATGGTAGGGAAGGAAAAATAATTCCAATCATCGAGAATAGACTAAAGACAAGAGAATTGACTGAAGAGGAAGAAACAGATTATCCTCTTCCTCTTCTGAGAATAAAATGCTTTCCTTAAGTGCTCAGCTGATCTTGTGACGAACATGTTGAGGTTTCATTTTGGAGCTGTCTGATCTTACGTTCATTGAAAAGAACATTGATTTTAGAATTTCTGAGATAAATCGTACGCAATCTTGTTACCATCCCTTCTGCCCTAGTAAACACTCTTACTTCAGCAGCACCTGAAAGTTTCTGCTGTCATGAGCTGATTATGAATTGTCCTTCTAGAAAAAGTGCTTTAAGTGCATCCTTACATTTTTTTGACAGCCTGTCCATAAATGAAATTCCTCTCTTCATAGCTGTAGAGACCTTACTATGCAGTACTATGTTTAAGATGCGAAAAGGATTCCATGACACCTCCTGGATGACTCTGAGGGTGTTTCAGGGGTCTTTGCCATTTTGAAGAGCTCTTGAACAAACTGACAGCTGTGTCAGGAACTGATGCTACTTAACCTGGAATGGCTATGCTGATCCTATGGAAGGACACTTCCCTTAGGATATGGTTGTGTTGCTGATCTCTCTCTTCTGGCCTGGATCTAACTGGAAGAAAATTTGAAATAATCCAGGAAACTTACCTAGTGCTAAAGATGCTTTGATACATAGCACAGCCAGTTCTGGTGTAGATAAATATAGTATAATGTCATGAGAGTATTTGTTGGATAGCTGTCCTTTGGGTCTTTGAAAAGGGAAAGTGGTATTTATACTTCGTAATTTTATTCTGCATGGAATTAGTAGAGAGGTATACAAACAAATGCATTACTAATTTTTTCATGGTATAGAAATGGTGAAATTATTAGCTGTCTCTGCACTGATGACTCACCAACCTTCCTCATGCTTATGCCATGGTGACAAGGCACTCTTTTCTCATGCACACAGCGAGGATAGGTTTCAAAGGCATTTAAACATAGAAGGCCAAGATACTTCTTACTGTAGAATGTACTCTTCTTGACACCTGTGAGGCTGCAGACATAAGCCCTTGAAAAACTAGTATTTAAAGTGAAAACCTTGAAGGAGTGGAGACGTTTTCTTTATGTCTTACCTCTGAGTCTGACACCTCCTTTACACTTTACTGTCACAAAAATAGAGCTTCATCAGTATTTACGTGTTTTGAAAGCAGATTACAAAATCATGGAGCTACAGGAGATAATTCACACTAGGAGAATAAAGGCACTAAACGTATCCATCTGCATGTGTAGTACCTATGGTTTTTAAAACCTGTGGTCAGTATTCAGTCCCAGTGCTTGCTGATGATTCCAATAACAATGGTTCCAACTTGTCCTAGCAAATGCTAAATTCCTTGTCTTTCTTCAATGAATTGAAACAATCAGCAGTAGCAAAGAAGGAGGAAGTTAAGTATAGTAATCAAAGGCAGCAATGAATGGTATAACAATTCCCAAACTGTAGTGTGCATTAGGATTGTTTCAGTACTATGTTCAGCTATCAGAAAGGACCAAGCTATGGCTGAGTTCACTCCACTCTTCAGGCTCTTGAAAGAGACTGTTTGATAGCAGCCAGGATACAAATATGATGTTTAGTGGATGTTACTTAAGGGAATTACTGAACAAATACTTGAGGAAGAACCAGAGAATATGGTATGTTCATCACAAATTCAGACTTATTAAGCATGTCATTGTCATGAAAATCCTTTTGTGTTGTAGTCGCAGTTGTTTTGTTCCAATAACGCTGAAGCTCATTTCTAAGCTCGCTCCTATACTCATCCACATATTCTATCACATCTACAAAAGAAAAGATGACATTTCCAGTTCCTGGACTTCTACAGATTATTCGGTGTTGATTTTGTGTGTGTGGGTTTTTTAAATTTTTTTTTTTTTAAGGAGTGCAAAGGTTTAATCATAAAACTTCTTTTCTTGAGATGTCTAATAATGATCTTCAAGGCAGAGAGCTGAGAGGGTGGAGGGGGAGTAATCAATGTTTGCATCCTGTGGCATTCAGCTTCAATTATACTGCTGAAACCTGGAAGCAGTGATGTTTTAAAGCAATCATTCGGTGTTACGCATTACAGCTATTCTGGATTCTCTAGTTCTTAGTTTATGCTATAATTACTGCAAGTCTATCCCTCATTCCTTAAGTTAAGTTGCAGATATTGAAACAAGTTATGCAGGTATCTCACAATTGGCCACAGCTTACCATAATAAAGTAACAATCACAAAAGAAAGCAAAGAAAATATGTCTTGCTTTCCACTGCAGAACTTTCCCAGATTCACTGATGTCATTCAAATGTCAATTTAACGTATACCACACACAGCCCTGGTGTTTCTTTTGCACTGGAATCTGATAGGTATTTTGCACATAGCTTTCAGATACCTAAACTGCCTCTGTCCTAGTAACTGGGCATTGTTCCAGTCTCCACACCTCAGTGCCATTTAAGAATGAGAAAATAAAAGGTGCCTCTCTGGAATTATAATAATGCATACTTAGCCCCATTGGTGCACATCTTTTGTCTTCTGCTTGATTTAGTTTTTAGTTTCTTTCTTTCCCATATAAATCACTCTCAGTGCATGAGAACTATGTACTTTAAGGCAAAACAACAGAAACAAAATAGCTGTGCCTTTATAACCATGATGATAGAAGGTGGTTATCTCTGGATATAGCAACACTGAAGACTTGAATTTCCTTAACTCCTCCTTATTTTCATAGGATGCTTTATTTACAAAATCACCCATAACCAAATATTTCCATTTTTCTAAGTAGAATAAGATACTAAGATCAAGATAATATAAAAAATGATCAAAACAAACCCCCACCTAACCAAAAGTAAAGTGGATTAGTAGGGCGTAATACAAGACCATACCACACTTACGTGATATACTTTTAAGTTACTCACACCTATAGTATTATAACAGTTATATATAGCAATGTCCTATACTTACTATAGTAACTTCATGCCTTTCCGTTTATTCATGCCACGCCCTTTGGGATCCACTGATCATGTTTAGATTCTCACACCAGACTATAAAAGTGGGAGGAACTGTGTTATAATGCTGAAAAAAAGAGTTTCATTTTTTTCTTAATAATTGTCCTTTAGGTTTTTAGTAGCTTATTTGTACTTGGCATTAGCCTCTCAAGACAGCAGCAGTCCTTCACCCATTCCTTCACACTATTGTATGGGCAAAGACAATAGTGAACTAAATTTGTCTTCAGTGGTTTGTTTGGTTGTTGTTGGTTGTTGTTGTTGTTTGGGTTTTGTTGTTAGGGTTTTTTTAGCAATTTCAGCTGTAGGCTTACTGGTTTGGCTTCCTGCAGACACACCTAGAATACTTGTGAAGGTATGTTGTTTCTTGGCTGTACTGAAAACTTCAGATAGACTGGTTTAAGAGGAAATACCTTAGAGATACCTGATGAGAAACTGCTCTGTATTTAGCAACTGGACAAGAGAAGGAAAATAAAGAAAAGAGATTCAGGTGATAACTTTCTGAAAACAAAGAGCCAGAAGATTAGAAGTGGGGTGTGGTCAGAAGTTTCTGAATAAAAATATCAGTGATCTCTTCCTTGAGTTTCTGCCACTGGATTTATGTTTCTGATTGTGTGCTGCATACAGGGAGTATCTATCCTGTACTTAAGAACACATTACTGTCTTCTGAATTCCCACTGCCACTCCTTCCTTTGTCTAGGAGCTAACCAGGTGTCGACATTTGGGTTCTCTCACCACCATTATTTTGTTGGACTACCTGGGATCATGCATTGAACTTGAATTATAGCAACAAGAATCTAGAAATAAAATTCAGAATGAATGTATTCTGATAGTATTTGTGCCTTTGGAGTCACATTTGTCTTTCACAAATAAACACATTAAACTTTATTTCTACACGTAAAACTATTAACAGACAGAGGAGTGGAGGACTTCAGTACATGATTTGGGGTTATACTGTATGATCTTTGATCTGTCCTACATATTGTGTGACTACAGATATGGCATTTAAATTGCCTGTGCCTCATCTCCCCACCTGAGGCATGGGGATGGCAGAGCTTCCATCTCTCTCCAAACGGCTATGATGCAAAGTGAATATTGGAGGCTACTGAGGTTTGGGCATTGGAATGGGCTGCCCAGGGAGGTGGTAGAGTCACCATCTCTGGAAGGGTCTCTTTTTTAAGAGACTGGATGTGGCACTTAGCGCCATGGTCTAGTAGACAAGGTGGTGTTGGGTCAAAGGCTGGACTCGATCTCAGAGGTCTTTTCCAACCTCTTGATTCTGTGATGCCATGATAATGGATACAAATTAAATACATGGCATGTAAGATGATGGAGCTTTTGCATTTATTGTAAATCATTATGAACAGGCTCAGGGCAACTGAACTGGTGGTCTTGAAAAAGAAAGGAAAGAGCCTACACACGTGCGAGAGAGCGAAATTCTAGTTTTTCCTATGTCAGTGCACGAAGTAACCAAGGTAAACCCATCTCTTTCCCCTCCAGTCTTTTGCAGCTGTAGCTGCTGTTGGCTCTCCGAGGGCCATGGGCATTGGGGTGTTTCCCTTTCCCGGTGACTCCCGGTGGAGCATCGTCCCGCCCCGCCGCGCGGGGCCGCTCGGCCGCGCCCTCTGGCGGCGCAGGGCCCGCCCCGCAGCCCCGTCCATGTCGCGCCGTCGGTCCCCGCAAACGCTCCGCGCGTTCCTGCCGGGGCGCGTTTGTCTTCCCGGTCCCGGGAAAATTAAGCCGCCTCGCCGCAGGGCGCTGAAGTTTGGGACGTCACCGGCGGGGGCGCGGCCCGCCCGCACTGTCCGCAGCTGCCGCATCCCGCGTGCGGAGCCGCTCACTCACAAACGCAGGAGGAGGGGGTTCCCCGGACAGCCTGCGGAACGGGACGGGACTGGACGGGAGTTTCCGTACAGGGGCCAAAGGGGAAGAGACGGGGGAGGCGCGGGAGCGAAATCGCTCGGGACCGTTCCCCCGGCTCTGCCTCCACCGGCGCCCTTCCCCGCCACGCACCCTTTGGTGCCGTTTCCCCCCGAGGGCTCCGCTCCGCGCCCTCGCTGCTGCCGTCGGGCTCCCCGCGCCCGGGGCGGTCACGCGCGGCTCCCGCTCGCGGTGACGTCACCGCCCCGCTCCCGCCCCGCCGCTCCCGCCAGCGGCCGCAGCCCGCGGGTGCGGGGCGGTGCGGGGCGCTGCGGGCCGGGGCTCCGCGCTCACGGGGCTCCGCGCCGCGGGTGGCGGCGCCGCGCTGTGGAGGCCGCTTAGCGCCGCCTCTTCCCTCCGTCCCTCCTTCCCGCCCGCGCCGCGCTGCCCCATGTTCGGGGTGGAGAAGCCGGCGGGGCAGCAGAAGCCGGGCAGGAGCGGTGGGCTGCCGAAGATGGCGTCCGTGGGGGATTTTAACGTGCTCAGCTCCAGCATTCCGGCCACCAAGGTGGAGCTCTCCGTGTCCTGCAGGTACGGCGGCGGCTCGCTCGCCCCGCGGCGTCGGAGGGGGCGGACGGGCGGGCGGACGGGCAGGTGGCCGCGGAGCGCCGGGCAGGGCGCCCCTCGCCCCGGCGGTGTCAGCGGAGCGGGGAGGAGAAGGGGCAGCGCGGGACGCCCTCCGCACGCCCGGCGCTGTGCGGGGCACTTTCCCTCCTGCCCCGCCTAGCTGTCAGCGCAGCCTCGGGCAGAGCCTGGGAGCAGCCCGGGGCCGGCTGCCAGCCCGCTGCAGCCCGCTGTCCCTCACCGGGCGTGCCCGCCGCAGGGAGCTGCCGGCGGACCCCGGGGCGAAGCGTCCGCTCCTGCAGCGGCTGCGGGCTCTGCCGAGACGGGCAGTGGCTGCTGCCGCCCCGCATCCTTCCCGCGCCGCTGCCGGCACGGGGGAGCGGGAGGGGCGGTGAGGAGCGCGCAGGGCGCGTTCTCCCGATGGTATTTTAACTTCTGGAGCTGTCCCAAGTGCCGCATCGGGGACGGAGAACTCCCGTCAGAAGAAATCCTGTTTTAAGTTCTTTGAGGCGCTCTTGCAAAACTGTTACGGGAGCGGGCGTGTTCTGTTTCTTCCTCTCGTTTTATCATAACGCTGGTGCCGAGAAATTGCGAAAATGCCACCCCGTAACGCCAAATCTGGTATACGCGGGTTTGTTCCTCGACATTTGTTTATCGGTATTTCAGAAATCGTGCTTTCTCCTACAGAGCGCAGAGAATTTCCTATTAGAGGTTTTATTTGTGGGCTTTTATATTTGTATCTTCGTTCACATTTTGCAACTTACTTTAAGTATTCCCTAGTAATTGCAGAGCGGTGGTTCCTTTCGCAGAGTTGGCAGCTTCTAGCGGAAAATTTGAACTGCTAGTGTTGTTTCCTGACGGGAAATGAGACAAAGTTAGTGCTACAGTCCGTTGCGTCATTTTCTAATGTAGCTGTCCAAGAATTGCTGCTGTTAACAGTACTTCTACTAGGACAGAACGGCAGCGCTATAAACTTAAATTGTCAGACCACTCCCTCTCTTTCCTTAGTAAATAAAGTATGATTTGATGTTTTATCAAGGCTGCGTTTCGAAAGAAGGCTGAAGCAATGAAAAGTAGAGTAAGATTGAATTTCTAATACTGAAACAGTCACTAGGCTGTCATATGAATAGCCTGATGTTACTTACTGCTTGTCTCTGCAAAGTTCACGGGCACCAACCCTGGTCCACTAAAAGGTGTGCTGCGATGTGTAAAAGCAATCCAGGACCTTTAGTGTTACTTTTAGGTTCATCAAATAACCTGTCACACTTACACATGACAGAACTCTTATGCTGGTTTTGGTCTGGTTCTCTTATTCTGGGGATACCTTTCATTCCAGGTATTCTTTTTATATACCTGCAGTGCTTTACAGTGATTTAAGAATCCATCAGATAGTTACAAAGAAATGTAGTTATAGGATGTAGTCAATCAATTCTGACTTTTCATGTAACTCATTTCAGTGTATAGTTTACAATGTTAATTTCTCTGTAGATATCATCAAAATACATATCTGTTTTCTTAAAACTGCCTTTTCTTTTTTTTCTTGTTTAAAAAATAGTCTCACATCCTGATATTGTCTTGATGTCAAGTGCAGGAGGATGGGAATTTCTATGGTGATTCCTTCCTTCTGTATGTGCTGGAATGACAGCTTTTGATTATAAAATTATATTTCAAAACGGAGTGCAAAATGAATGACACTGGGGCAGAGATCACTGATTAACACATGTTTGTGATTCATCTGTAAACACATTCGTTGCCTAAAGCTTGTGAAATGTAGTGTTAAATTAAATTGTGAAAGACTGCAAGAGCAAACTGCAAAGTTCAGAGAATGCTGAAAATTCTGTAATAATTAGCAGTTGTGTATTCCTAAATACCTGGAGAGAAATGCTTTTATAACAGTTTGGGTCATGATGTTTGTTTTCCTTCATACCCAAAGAGCTGTAGAATCAATTTGGTCACTAATTAACATCAGCGGTTATTAGTGGATAACTATTATTTCTTCTTAGATTTTTTTCTTCTTTTTTTTTTCCCCTTGTTTTCATTAGAGGAGATGAGGGAAGTTCTTCCAGTTTGTACAGGTGGTGTAACTTGGTGGTCGATGCAGCACTGCAGGCTGTTTGTGCCACAAAATAAACTTGTGACTGTAGGCAATGTTCTTTCATGTCTTCTTCTTTCTGTGTGTCTTATTCATAAGGGTAGAATTCTATTCACTTAGCTTTTAATTCTGTGTGGTCTGTCAGCGCTTCCTGAGTTAATCTGCTCTGCATGTTCATGCTGCCAATGTTATCAAAGTAGCCAGGTTCAACACTATGCAGATGGAATTGCACTACTACTTATTCTGCAAGCCAGCCTGGTTTAGCTTCAGGGGAACATCAGGTAGCCTTTAGGAGAGGCTCATCTCATGGGATGAAAAGTTGTCTATCAAAATTATAAAATCCAGGAATTTTTTGAATGTCAGGAGATTTCTTTGTGACTAAAAGCTTTCCATATCATTCCCATGGCTTACTGAATGCCAGCATTGGCTGTAATTCTACGAACGCTAGAAAAGCGAGAAACTGATTTAATTCTAGCTATTGCTACTCAGTGCCTGGCAAATAAAAAGTTAACAATTCTTTTCTGACTCTGTAAGATGTAGTTTATCAGGAATCTGTAGTTTTTGGCTCAATAGCCAGATCTAATATGGCAGAAAAACTTATATGTATCATCCCAGAGCATCATCTGGTGTTGATAGTAGTCCACTGTTTTCTGCATCAATTGTTCTAGTAGCCATCTCCCTCTGTGCCCTGTTGCTCCCTTTGTCACATGCCCTGAAGGGTATCTGTGGTCTGATGAAAATCTTACTGTCACCTGCCATGTGATCTTTATTAGTTTCAACCTGGCATAATTTTTTACAGTTGTCATGTGGTGAAGGACCAAGACCTTTTCCCTCCAGTCAATGTGGAAGAGAGGATATGGGCTGTTCTTTTTCTCCTCTTCTGTTTTCCAGCCTAAAGATTCCTCCTCCTCTAGAGGGGGTTTTGCACTGGATACTGATTATGGACCTTTGAATCTTCTCTTACCAGCTCTGTTTGTAAATTTGTGCTCCTATGTGAGTTTCGGGTAAGCTTCAGGCCATGTCCCTGTCATCCTGGTTTCCCTCTCTGGTGATGTTCTTCACTGATTCCAATCTAGTTAAATCTTGGAAAAACTTCATATTCTGTTCCTGTCTTCCCCAGTATGAATGCAGTTACTATGTGTTGACTGAGCTAGTGCGTTTAATGCTGAGGACACAAGTAGATGGTGGATATTTGTGCTGTGTGTGAACTTAAAGTTCAAGAGGCTCAATTTTTTGTTATAATCTGTATAATGATGATTTCTTCTTATCATGGTTCCTGTGTGGACCGACCTAGTTTTTTTCCTGTAGTGCCTGATTAAGCCATGGCCAGTCTGAAACCTGATGTTAGAAAAAAGGCCAAGTTTCATTTTACATATTAATGTTTATTTATTTACTGAATGAGGAGTTATCAATCAGAATTATTTTCTAGAGAGTAATTTTTTAATATCTCTGGAAAAGTGAAGCTGAGTTTCATAATATTCTGACTTATAGTAGTGTATCAGAGATGACATGGTTATCTGAAAGATGATCAAAGTGTTATAAAATATTGACACAGTACAGGGTCACTGCTAATTCAAAAAGTTTGTTATGAAAACAGTGCTCTGAAAGGCTTTATGCTCAGTCAGGCAGTGTGTCCTTACTGTTCTGGTTTATACTGGGTAGGCTCTACACTGTATTCCCACACTAAGCATAATGTGCATAAAGGCACCATAAACTCCTTGTCATGGTTAATTCAACAGAAATACAATTGGTTGCCCATGACTGTTTTGGATCAGTTCTGTGCTGCTTCACAATTTGTACAGAAATCTAACATTAATGAATGAGCCGAATGGAATTAAGCAACCCTTATTCTCAGTAATTAAGATAATTTCAAGTTTCTTGCACAGAGGAACAAAGCATACTACTTCAGAATTTTTGCTTTTCTTTGGCAGTCTGAAAGTCTTAACCAGCCACTTCCTAGTGGTTGCAGTACCTGAAAGTATGTTTAATTATATCTTTGTTTGTCCTGGGCATTGATTTCTGGCAAGATAATATCTCTCCAGCCAGCATACTTACCTCCTGCTTTTTTTCCTGAAATATTAATAGTTTGTTGGAAGTCCCTGTCGCAGAAAGATACAATGATTAAAAAAAGATAAAATCATAACAATCACAACAAATTATTGAGCTTGTAACTTTGTATAGTACAAAGTACAGAATATAAAATTAATCCTGATTAGAAGTCTGGTTTTTATTTTCCTGCTTGCTCTGTGTATGTGCTTCCAGGTTGGATTAGAAGTTCATGGAGTGGTTATGTGTGACTGGCAACAGAAGGTTGATCTTACACGTTTTTTCTTTGAAATGGAACTGCCTAGACAACCAGCTGGGTTCAGCTGAGAAAAATCACTGTATTGAGAGAAAAAAATAGAAGTGGGTGACATTGTCCTTCAAAATAGTCATGGAGGTACACTCCTGATAGACTGCATGGTTTGGTTTTCACTTGTGTGTCTATATTTGAAATTTAAGCATGCAGCCATGTGACTTCTAGAATTTAAGGTAGATCTTTTGCCCTGTAAATTCAATCTTGGGATTGTTGGGGCAGGCTGTTACAATGGGCCCTGAGATGGGGTAACTGAAGTTCTAGTTAACAGATCCTTTGGGGCAGATTAGAGTGAAAAGTCACTGAATGAGCAGTGACAGGTCATTCATATATGGCTTATATAGCAGGTTTATTTTAGAACAAATTGGTTGCAATGGAAAGGAAATATGTAGCCATTTTGGTTATTATCTAGAGAAATATAACAATATAAAAGTATAAAAATATCACTTAAGAAAATACATAAGGAGAGGAAAAAGGGTAAGAATAGATTGTGGAGAAGAAAGGTATTGCCATCCATGGATCCAGTGATGATACTTAAAGGTTGCAATTTTGATGTCCCTCAGGTGAGGTGATGGTTACAGTCTTGATCTGTTGGAGGTGGAGAAGCCCTGGAAACCAAAAGTTCAATGGGGTAATATATGTTCAGGTTCAGGTGGGAAAGTCCAGCTTCCTCTCCTGGGGAGGGAGTTTTACACTGTCTGATGCAATACTATGAATCATGCACAGTCCTCTGGTGGAAGGCCCCAGAAATGAGTCTGAGGGTAGTTCCGGGGTCTTTGATGGTTTATGACACCATCTGAGACATGACCACTGCTTCTCATGCCTGTGTAGTTGAGCCCTTGTGCTTTATCAGAAGGGATGAATACCTTCAGACTTACGTGTGAATACCTCCCCCGGGGGCGGGGGGGACTTTTACAGCTGAGCCTTATCGGGAGGGAGGACTATCACTGGCTTGATAAAAAACCTTATCCCACCTCGCAGGATCTGCTACTTACCGACCCTTTGGCCTTTTCCCTTATCTGGCTCAAAGACCAGCTTGTGGCAACACAAAGGTGTGTTTGTGCAGTCGTCTGGTGGTGGGAGTGCACCCCCTCTGCACCTGGGTTGTTACGCAGATCAGAGGTTGCACCACCCCACACACAAAAACTCTCCTTCTTCCCTTTGACTGGGGGATGCAAAACTGGCCTCAGCAAAGCACCCTGCTGGTTTTGCAAATCTAATTGTTCAAGTCATTAACCTTTAACATTTCAATCTCTCTCACAGGCCCCAGATTTCACACTAACTGCGCAAGTCTCAGGACTTGTCAGGTTTTGTCTAAACTTGTCTTTGTCTACAAGGAACTTTGTTTGGTTTTGCTTAGCTGCAAACCCAAACCCAGCAGGTTTTTTTCTAGTGACTGGGTGGCTATTCCTTAGTTTCACTGGCTTGTCCTTGTGTAATTGTGTCTTATAAACATGTTTCTTTATACAGAT